CTTTAATCTACTATTAGACGACTTTTTTTGCTTGAAGAACCACGCCAGTTTTCCGCTCTATAAAGATCAATTAATTTTTATTTATTTATTTGAAAGTTTCAGAGATTTCATTGAATCAGTCCCTTTTTTTGCTAAAGTCGCGCTGAAGGAGATATGCCCAAATTTTAGTTTTGGGCCTTTAAAGGGGTTCCAACTTTTTTGGATTCTTTTCATTTTCGAACACGTTCCTATTGTTTTGGGCTAATACCTGCACGTTTCTAGTATGTAAATGTAATGGGTATATTGGGCCTGATGAATAAAATGGGCTATTTACCTTATTTCAGGGGCTAATACCTGCATGTTTCTAGTCTGTATGTAATTTGAAAATTGGGCCTGATGAATAAAATGGCTATTTACCTTATTTCAGCATGGTTCTGGCGAATTTATAGTAACTACTGCTCTTAAAAAATACATTAAAAACTGTATTCACAACAAAATAACGGGCCACATTTATAAATATACGTATGGATGTAATAATTGCCTCCCTTGTCAACATAATAAACAAAGCTCACACTCGGCCCATAAAAGAATCCGCCCACGGCCCATATGCTTTCATCCCTTCAGCTGCCATTCAATTAGGTTTCATAAGAGTATCTATTCCCCTTCTTTTTTCTTCCACAAACCTGATCTTTCTTCATCGTCTTCCCTCAAATCTCTCAAGTAATTCAAACTTTAAGAATGTCTGTATCTGTAGGTGGAGCAATCGCAAAAGAAAATGTAATGACAAACGATAAACCTAAAATATCTTTTGAGGAAGCATTAGAGGAAATGCGACAAGCCGACAACTGTCTTTTGTTCTCACCAGGTCCTGATTTCACCACAGCCTGCTCCTGCGGCGAGTGCCTTTCAAAAATTGCGAAGCTCAAGCGGTTTGAGGACGAGATTAAGTCCAAAAAAGAACAACTCTATGTGAGTGTTAATCAATCACAAAAGTCCTAGGTTCTTACGTTATTTGTTTATTTTATTTTGTTTTCCTTGAATTTGTGGATAGAATTACCTTGCCCAAGTTGATTTTGATGAATCACTCTGTTTGAGTCTTGCCAACGCCGCTAAGTGGACGGCAGATATGCTCGATTTGCTTCTCCGAAAACTCGAAGCATTATCTGAGGTAATAAGTTTGTTCTTCTCCTCCTTATTCGCGGTATTTTCATGAATTTTTTGTAACATTTTTTTTTTTTTTTTGTTTTTTTCAACTCTATTTTTGATTCCAGAAGTCGGGAATTCCTATAAAACTTGAGAACGACCCTGCAGCTGCTAATCTGGAAACCGTCTTTCTTCGATTAGCTCATATGCTAAAAGATAATGGGGTGATCAGAAATATAGAGACTGCCAAGTACGATAAGGAACATTATGTCAGACGTGCCCCAATTACTCCTGGGGTAAGATATTATGTTAGATACTTATATATTCAATTCTTGATGCACCAAACACACACACACACACAAAATTTGCCTTGAGCAAAATAGTTGTACCTTTTTTTTTTTTTAGTTTGGATTATATTGTATATAGCTCTAGCATATGATTTCAATTAATTGTAAAGTGTTGTTGTTAACAGGTCATATGGTACAAGCGAACAAAGGCTAACGATAGAGCTTCAGTTCTTCTTCATCTTATTGCTCAGGTGGAAGATGATCATGAGCGGGAAAAAAAAGCAGCTGAAGCAGAGGGAAAGATGCTCGCCCCTTCAGTTTCAAAATGTTTCATTGAAAAACAGACCGAGGCAAAGAATTTTCACCTATTGCTATTGTCCTAGCATTTCCCATTTTCTCTTCTTTTTTTATTTGTCTCTGATCGGGCCTATTACTCCGTGTATGATATTAATTACCGTAGTTGGTCAAGAAATTTCCGGTTGAGGAATTGTACGTTGAAGCCGAAGAGCTCGTTTCAAAAATTTGCCCTATAGAAGAGAAGACGCTAATGGGTAGAGAAATCAGAATGTATATCACCAAGACTTGTCGTGCTATGATTGTAGAAAGAAAATGTTTTTGGCAACAATATACAGAGGTATACTTTATGGTATTGCTGCTAATTTAATTATTTGTTTTAGATGACTTTATGTTGAGCTTAAAACCTCTATATAAATTATTTTTATTAGCATCCTTCCTCGGATAATGTGGGATACCAGGGTGTGGGCATAAAACACGATCTGAATGGATTAAATAAGACACTTGATTCGTTGCTCATCATGGTAGGTTTAATTTAGATGTTGTTGATCAGTTGTACTTAATTAGTTCTTTTTTTTTTTTTTAATTTCAA